TTTTTATTGAGGTTTACTCCTCTTGGTCCAAGTGGTGAAGCTCAGACCCCCCGCGTCGCGTGCCCACTCGTCGAGCCGGCCCCGACGCCTGGTTTATCAACCGACTACAAGCCAGTTGGCACCGTTATACCCTGTGCAGGCCCTTAGCCACGACACGACAGCTGGGCAGGGTGAGCTGGTCCACGACTGGTTATTTGTCAGCCCTATTGGATTTTTACCTCCTCAAGCCTCCTTATTCCCAGCCACCCAGGCCCGTGAGGGCCTGGGCTCCCCCATCCGCCACCCGGGGGACGCGCCTCATGGATTGCTCAACCACAGAGGAAGCCTATTAGAAAATCATACTCAGAACGCATCAACTGCTTTAGATAAACACGAAAATTTAACAAACCATGAATTTAATTGTAAAGAAGAAAAAAGTTACATTTTTAACCGAAGCCGATGATCAATATAAATTGGTAATAATGGAAATGATTGAAAAAGAAATAAAATAAATGCTTTTAATGATCGAAAATATATTTATAATTCAAGTTTATATCAGAGTTCATATCATAGTTAACCTTTAACATAATCTAAATGAGATTTTAAGTCATCTTTCACATAATAATAATTTAATGTTAAAAAATATACTAATAATTGAATAAACTCTGACTGTTACGTTATAAACTCAAAATCAAAGTCAAAGTCAAAATATTCATATCTACTTATTTAACGTTGCAGAATGTAAAGATTTTTATATATAATAATTATTTTACACAATTATTTTATGTATATATTATTAATAAACATCCACAGTGTGATCAGAACATTGGATTAATAAAAATTAAATTAAAATAATGTGAAAATCCATTCAACACAATTAAATTAGAACAAATAATAAGATTTTCACACTTATTTATTGGGTTGTGACAGCTGTTTCGGCAACATCCTGTCCATATCAAATACAATATTTTATTTAGTAATCAGGTGGTAATAACTTCTTAATTGCCATTAAGGGCTATAAATTTAAATTTTACAACAAATAATGTAAGTATTATTGAACAACCTATACCTAAGAACCACTCAAGCATTATATTTTATTTGAAGTTCTAACATTAAATAAAATTTTTAAAACCGCTGACCACTCTGCTTCAGGACACTTAAGAAACTCCCCTTTAATGCATCTAATTGGCGTCAAGTTCAAATAGCTCGCTTATGTTAAACCTTGAATATTTTGCCCAGTTCTATACTTTCATCTAAATCATCAAGCACCCTTACCGCATATTCTAAACCTACTTTAAAAAGTAATGGTGAGAGCGCGTGACGTTATGATTATAATGGTCCAAAGGCTTTTGGGTTGGGCGTGTTCTCATTGTTTTTCCAAAATTTGCCTCGAAATGAAAATCTGATCTGTTATGACCCTATCCCTTCGAAAACCACAATAATATTCCCCAATGCACCTTTCCGCAAATAGAATCCATCTATTCAGTAAGATGTTAGAGAGTACTTCGATGTCGCAAGCAACAGTGAGATGCTTCAATAGTTTTATCGCACCTTTTTTGGGCTTTTCTTATGAATTGGTATTATTACAGCCACCTTCCATTCTTCTGGTATGGTCTCTATGCTCCAGATCTGCTTGAAAAGTTCAGCAGTTTTCTATTGCTTTTTGAACTTCGTCGCCAGAAGGGGAAAAATCACTTTTTTGTATTGTATTGTATTCATCATCTGTCACCTCCATATTAAACAGATCTCATTATTGTTAAAATTTTTCAATATGAAAATGGGTTTGATTCTACCACTGCAAAAAAACGTAGATAACAACTGCAATAATTATAGAGGAATGTCACCGCTATATACATCATTGAAGCTGTTTGAGAAAATAGTTGAAAAAAGACTACGATCAAAAATAGAACCAACTCTAATAGAAATGCAAAGCACATTGCGAAAAGGCACCCAGATCAAAGAAATAGTTTTAAGAAAGTTGGTAAAGTCTGAACCGGTATACCTTCTTAGATATGAAAAACTGTTTGATAAAGTTTCGCGGATAAAAATCGGGAAAAGCCTACAAGGTTGACAATAAACTAATAAGAAATTATTTCTGTTTATACAACGAAACAAAAAAAATTATAACAAGTAAGAACATGAAATCAAAGGCCTGTACTATTCATAACTTATAAGGACGATCTAATTAAAATGGCAAAACAGCGATCAAAAGCCCTTTACGTTGGATACCGACATGATTGGGACTAGATACTGAAACAAAACAAAATGAAAACGCACCAATGTTTTGGCACTATCAAACGAAAAAGAGAAATTAGAAATTACATTAGGTGGGAAAGTAACAGAACCAGTTAGTAGCTGCCAGTATGTTCGGAGAAACAAAAGGACATCATACAGAATTTAATAAAATAGAAAAGGCAAATAAGGTATACTATGCCCTGAGTAAACAAAAAGGAAATTTCTAAGGAATCTAAAATCGATTTTACAAATCGATTTGGGTATTATCAACACTGGAACAGCAGAGGTGAAAACTCGAGCAGAGTGACAAGAGTAACCAGAAGGGACAAAAAATAAAATAATTCATAGAAAAGAAACAACTTGGCTGGTGGGCCATTTATAGGGATTAAAATGCAGGGAAAAAGGAAAAGAGGAGGACCCACCATAACGTGGTAGAGCACTTTGGGAAAGACTGTGAAAAACTTGACACTAAATAGAAAATACTTGAAACTTTTTATAAGTTTATAGGTTTTACAGGCCAGATTATATGTAAATTCACGTATTGATTCAGGGATGGAAAAATGTGATGACAATATATTTCGGGATATCATCCGTTCGTTTGTTGAACTCCGACTGGAATCCTGCAGACGTTTCGCCAAGATCTCAACTCCTTCGAGAATTCCGTTGTTAGAACCGCCATGTGACACTGTTGTTTTAAATTTCATATCCGAGGACCAAATCAGGATCCAGCTAAGTAAGCTTGATATAAATAAAGGCCCTGGACCTGATAACCTACCCCCGATATTATTCAAACCATGTGCTGAATCTTTAGTGCAGCCACTTTTTATTATTTACAATAAAAGTTTATCTGAAGGGCAGTTTCCAACTATTTGGAAGTGTGCCAAAATAATACCTGTGCACAAGAGTGGCAGCAAGGTTGACGTCACAAACTACCGACCTATATCTATTCTTTCCGTTCCAGGGAAAATGCTGGAAGCTATAATACCAATGAGTTATTTTTCAAATTAAAACATGCTCTTGGAGATACACAACATGGTTTTTTTAGGGGTAGGTCGGTTGCTACCAATCTCTCACTACATGTCCAGGATGTTTCTGAGGCGTTAGATAATAGGGTGCAGATAGATGCCGTGTACACCGACTTCTCAAAAGCTTTTGATAAGGTTCACCACCCAACAATGTTGATCAAATTAAAAAATTTCTGTGTACACGGTTTTCTTTATAAAATTCTTCAATCCTACATCAGTCCTCGGACTCAGTTTGTAGAATTGAATTCTGCAAAATCCCAAACGACCCGCATCACATCTGGAATTCCTTAACGACTGTCATAAGTTTCAAAAAGATCTTGATCGTTTTTGTGAATACTGTGTAAAAAATCGCCTATTTTTAAATATTGATAAATGTTACTGTCTTAAGTTCAGCAGGCGGATAAATGATATAAACTTTGACTACACGTTCAATGGTGTAAAAATAAAAAAAGTAGAGCAGATTAGGGATCTTGGAATAACTATAGATGTAAAATTAAGTTTTGATATCCACATTGAGAATATAGTAAAAAAAGCTTATAAAAATTTAGGTTTTATATTAAGAGTTAGCAAGGAATTTCAGGATCACAAATCGCTTATTATTCTATACAATTCCTACATTCGATCTCACCTTGACTATGGCGGTGTGATATGGAGTCCTCAGTATCATAAATATATAGACAGAATCGAGAGAATACAAAAAAAGTTTGTTTTCCATTTAAATTTTAGATTTAACCGTAACTTACTAACTCATTCGTATGAAGCTAGTCTTAATTTCTACCATATACTGAAGTTATCTGTTAGAAGAGTTATCTCCAGTGCTATATTTTTGCATAATATTATTAATAGTAGGATTGACTGTCCTTTACTGTTGGAAAAACTCTCCTTCAATGCCAGAGTCGTTATAACAAGAACTCCTTCATTATTTTACGTGCCTAGATTTAATACAAACTTAGGTAACAATTCCCCAATATCTCTTTTACATAGACATTACAATAATTATTTTTCGCACATTGACATCTTTGCGTTATCACTTAATTCGTTTTGAAATCAAGCAATTAGGGTTTTTCTATAAATTTATTTTAATTTTTGATTTGTTTTCCTTATTTTTTTACATTTGTTTTTTGTAATTCACGCACTTAATATACAGTGTTAGTTTTGGTTTAGTTTGGTAAGTTTGATTGTTATTATTATTATTTATTTTTTTTATCTTCTGCTTATCGTAGATATAGGTAGGTACTTGCTTATAAGTTTTACTTTGTTAATTAAATAATGGTATAATTGTTAGTGTGTCCTTGTAAATTGTGAAGTTAGTTCTTCATGTTAGGGCACCTTTGTAATAAATAAATAAATAAATAAATCTCACTTGGCATCTTCAATGCTCGCGGTCCGAACACACTCGAAGTGTTGCCAAACGTCTGCAGGATTCCAGTGGGAGTTCAACAAGCGAACGGATGATATCCCGGAATATTTTTTAACACACACACACATATATATATATATATATATATATATATATATATATATATATATATATATATATATATATATATATATATATATATATACATATATATATATATATATATATATATATATATATATATATATATATATATATATATATATATATATATATATATATATATATATATATATATATATATATATATGTCTTGTTTCTTCTTATTCTTCCCTTCTCGTATTAGTTGCGCTATAGCATCAACCTTGATTCATTTAGTAAAACATGATTCGTGGTTTCAGGACAGCAAAAAAATTGGGGCAATTCTTAACGCAACCTTCGAAGAAGAGAAACTTACGGGTACGCGGTTAGTTGATTCGAGAACGGCTACGCAAAACACCTCCGTTATGTACAGCGATTGGAGTAAGTGGAGCAGATGTCACGACTGTCTGCAGCGTAGAATCAAGAATTGCGTGAATCCCAGCTGTCACAATTCGAGGCTGTTTGAGGAACGCGAGTGCCACAAGAAACGGTGCAAGAGAAAAGTGCGCAAGAAAATTGAATTCCACGTCGTTCATTTGAACACGGTAAGTTTTAAATACGTTCGGGTTGTCTAGTACTATCAACTCCAGTGTCTCAACCGCTGAAATATTTAGAATTAATCTTAGTAATATGATGCGATTTTTTTAATAATTGGATTTCAAGAAAACTTCTCCCACACATCATAATTTATTGCAGCAAACAGAAAATATACAAAGTGGGTCAACAAGCAAATGTCTACTAAGTTCCTTTTTTAAATGGGACACTAGTTTTGTTAAATGCATTTTCGAATGTCCTCTCTCTTATTTTTTATGAGCAATAGATTAAAAAACAGAAATTTAATTGTATGTCCCAGACCCAGACAATGAAAATTTCAATTTTTATTGGATATGTAGATGAAACGAGAAGAAGAAGTTTGAAGAAGTTGTTTAACGCAAAATATCCAAAAGACCCATTACAAAATCCACATTTACGAAAACTGAGAGAAAATTGAAAGAAACAGGGCATGGGAAAGTTCGTCTAACCAAAAACTAATGGGAAGACAAGATTAAATATTTTATTAGAAGTTGAAGACAATTCCCATCGCGTATCTTTCGAAGTAGTTTCAAATACTGATGTTAGCCAACGAACAGCTTTGTGCTTTGTGTGTAATAAAAGAAGAAAAGCATTATCATCAGGAGCTGAACGAAGATGGTCTCCACCGCAGATTACAGTTTCGTGGAACTATAATGGAAACATGCAACCTAAATCTATTTTTTCATCGTTAGATACTGTTTAGTAATGAAGCAACGTCTTGTTTAGTGTAAATAAACAAATTTTTATGTATTGAAGTACAAATAATCAACGACGGATGAGAGAAAATCCACGAAAAATAAATGTTTGGGCAGGGATTTTGAATAACAAAATTATTGGACCTTATTTCTTCCATCAAAATGTTATTTACAATTGCTTCAAAATGGCTTAGTTACTACTCTCGCTCCGCCCTATTTTTCTCGACAAGTGCGTGAATATTTAAATACGGTATTTCCTGGACGTAGATTGATAGAAAGGGATCAATAGAACGGGAGGATATACAGAATTGACTACAAATAAGGCAAACTAATGAATATATCGTTAATAATGTTTCGGGAGGGTTTTTAAAACGATTAGCAAATTGTTAAGAAGTTGATAGTAGGGCATTTTCAACACCTAATAAAATAATTTCTTTGACATATTTTTTATTTTTTTTTGCTCACATTGTACGGTAAATGAATTCTGCATGCGTGAAATTTAACCTAGAATTTGAAAATGTGATAGATGTATGAGTTCATTTTTTCTAAAATCCAATAATACCTGATTTTTAAATGAATTTGTTTTACAATCCTTCAACTTTTTCTATTAATAATAATTCATACCTAAACCGAATAGCTTTTCCTATAAATATATTTAGATGATATTAAATTGAAAAATATCTATTTTCTTATGGAGCACACCATGAATTTTTTTTTTCTGGAAGATCTTGCAAAAACCTATAACTTTTATTAAGTAAGTCATATAAATATTTTTAATACTTTTCAATATTTACTTAACTTTTCCAATATGTAGTGCAACATTAGGTGGCCAATCATCTACCAATCATCTACCCAAATTCGATACCCTTTCAAATATGATTCATCGCAAAGCTAAAAATCTTCGTTTATCTTCTACCCAGAATCAAAATTTGAAAAACTAACGTCCACGCCAGTGAGTTTGATGGTTACTCTTCTCAACTACCAAACACTGTCGTAAAAACTACTTAAAAAACTCAAACCTCCTAAATCTAATATTCCAATGCCTGAACACATTGTTCTAAAATCTCTAAAATCTAATCTCGACGTGGAACGCAACCCTCGAGGCTTCTTCTCTATCAGAATCCGTGAAAAAGTCTGTTACCCCTGATGACTCTAAAATTCATCGTCTCTACAGATTTACTCAGATTCACAAATGGACCAATTTTCAGCACTATTTATCTCCAAAATATTCTCTAACAAAACATATATAAAACCCTTTGCGGGGAAAACTGATAGATGTCATTCATTTCATTGAACAAATAAAAAAATATCTCATTTATTCTGGTTAGTATCGACGTAGAATCCTACGTTACTAGATTCCCTATTCCTGAAACTCTCAACATTATTTCAGATATATTAAAAACTGAGAATCTGGAACCAAACCTTCTCATCTTGATTGGAATGATTGTCTGGAATACATTTTTCTTTCATGGAGAGCTATGGGTTGATGTTATGTTATTTGTCCTCATGGTCAAGAATCCATAAGAGATTTGCTTAGCCATTTAAAGTTTAAACACCCTAACGTACGTTTTTCTTTGGTACGTATAGCATTCGCGAAATTGGAGTTTTCTTTGACAGATTTAGTGGCTTTAATAAATCAATTTAAGGCAGAATGAAAAAAGTTTCCGGTTGAAAATAACACAAGTTTTAAAATGCAAGGAGAATATTCATAACTGGATTTGAATAAAAAACTTCTGTAAAAGGCACTATCTTCTATGGGGAAGTTTTGAAAAACATTTATTTATCAACGGTATAATGGTATAATGGTATTGTTGGATTATTAATTATATTGTTTTTTTTTCTAAACGCGAATAATATTTTGTCACTGTAAAATTTTAGTTTTTTAGATTTTGTTTTCCAATTTGCTATGTAAGAGTTGCAATGTGTGTATCTATGAATAAAAAAGTTTTATTTTTTTTTTGTTTCTTTGTTATACATGTAGGTCTGTCGTGCAGATGAAATAGGATTTCTGAAGAAGGGATTTAATTATAAAGAAATAGTTCTTAACGTTTACCTTTTCTCCATGCAAGTTTCAGATCGCTGCGTCAAATCACTTGTTCAATCGCGTGTTCTCGCTGTTACTAAACTTTACTTTTTATTATTAATTGCTATTTAGCAATTAAGTTTCATTAAAATCTCGAAAAATTCCATTCAGAGCAGAAGTTATTTGACCAAGCAAGCTCCTTCCGACGTATGGAGCAGATGGACGAAGTGGTCCGCGTGTTCGCCGCAGTGTCGGACCTCGAGAACGAGGAGATGCAGGAAACCTGGCAGGTGCAGGAAAGATGTGCAGAAGGAGACGGCCTATTGTTACCACGAGAAGACCAAATGCGAGTTGTACGTGCTCAACTTGATGGAAGCTAAGCTAATGAAAAACCCTTTAGGTAAGAGGTAAGACAAGGCTACTTATTTGCAGAGGGCGGGGCGAAAATCGCTTTTTAAGGGTTCCTGGTTTGAAGCAATGCGATGAAGCTGGTGACAGACCTAGCAACTTGATATATTGATGTCTTAACGCTTAGAAAATAATTTTACATACAAGAGTTCTGCATACTTAATCTTTCGAAGAAACTTCCACAGGCTACTCTAATACAAATGTTCTGGATTCCTCCTTAGTCGGTTGTTGATGAATGGAACTTGCTGATGTGTCGCCAATCATCCTCACAGCTTAACGGAAACTGGTTCGCATTCTACTCTGTACCTGCTTATATATTCCTTGAGGGGCCGGAGCTAAAGAAGGGGTATGAACATTGTCTCGGACAACTGATAATATTGGTGAAAGGTAAGCACCTGAGTCGCGGTTTAGATTGTTCGGTTGATTATAGATTTCTATAGATTCTCAGATTTTTCGTTGGTAGAAGAATTGATTACGTGTTGATGAGTTTAGATTAGATGAGTTAAAGTTTAGACTACGACAAATAAACTCATTAGCAGTTCTACCAACGAAAAATCTGAGAATCTATAAAAATCTGTAAGCAACCAAACAATATTAACCGCGACTCCCGAGATAGGAAATCATTTCAAATGTCGAGTCTATCCTAAGCAAACTGCCATCTCAAACTGCTAATGAAATTTGATTTAAAACCGCAAAAATCCTTAAAAAACCCGATCCTCCTAAATCCAATATTGCGCAACGCAACCCTAAATCTGTTATTAAAGCTTCTTCTCCGTGACAAAGTCTGTCACCCATCATGGCTCTAATATTCATCGTCTCCACGGATTCCCTAAGATTCAAAAACCGACCTATTGTCAGCACTATTGGTCTCCAAAATATTCACTAGCAAAATACAGCTAATGAAATTCGATTTGAAACCGCAAAAATCCTTTAAAAAAGTCAAAACCTCCTAAATCTAATAATGCAGAGCCTGAACGCATTGCCCTAAAATCTCTAAAATCTAATCCTGACATCGTAATCCTAAAAGCACATAAAGGAAATGCTGCGGTGGTTATAAATACAAATGAATATCAGAAAAAATTCAAGATATTCTTACAGACGGACCATATCGTCAACTTAAAAAAGATCCTACGTCATCTATGGAACGCAACCTTAAAATTATTATTAAGGCTTCTTCTCTATTAGACTGAAAAAATCTGTCACACCTCAAGACTCTAAAATTCCTCGTCTCTACGGACTTCCAAAGATCCTAGTATCAGCATCATTGGTTCTCCAACATATTCTCTAGCAAAATATCTAACTTCCTTATTAAAATCCTTAACTGGGAAAATTGATAGTTTCGTACTTAACCCCTTTCAGTTCAATGAACAATTAAAAAGCATTACATTAGATACACAAGTTATTCTTGTTCGTTTCGATGTAGAATCCCTCTTTATCAAAGTTCCTATTCCTGAAACTCTCAACATCATTTCAGATATATTAAAATTCGAGAATCTGGACCCAAACCTTCTCACCTTAATTGAAAAATGCTTGCCCGGAAAATATTTTTCTTATAACGGTCAAATTTTTGAACAAACATAGGGAACAGCTGTGGGTTTTCCTCTATCACCAGTCATCACGAATGTATTTATGGAAACCTACGAGAAAAAAGCTGTCGACACCTTTGATCTAAAATCAAAATACGTTTTACCATTGAGTTGGAAACTAATAATTACTTCCCATTTTTAGGTATTCTTATCAATAGAAAATCAAACATAACATTGTGTTCACAGAAAACCTACGCACACAGACCGATACCTTAATGCATGGTCACATCACCATCCGGCCCAAAAATCATTGGTTATCAACTCTCTTTTTTACAGAGCCGTAAAACTATCTCAGCGCGAGTCACTGCACTCAGAATTAAAACACTTTACCTCTGCTGTTCTCGTTAATAATTTCCACATTAAATATATTAAGCGTTCCATCACAAAATATACTTCAGCACATCCTTCCAATAGCAATCAGGCCGAAAGCAATCCTACCCTTGCGACTGTGGTCCTACCTTACATTCAAAACATCACTGACCATGTATCAAAAGTTCTAAAGAAATATAACGTCTAAACCAAATTTACCACTTGTCCAAAAATCTCACATCTTCTTCGATCCGTCAAAGACAAAATTCCATTTGCGGCAAATACATGGAGAGATAGGATGAAAAGTATCAATTAGGCTCAAAGAACATGAAAGAGCCTTAAGACTAAGACAAATAAACTCATCAGCAGTTGCGGAATTTTATTCGATAAAACTAAAATTCTTGCATGTAACCAATTCTCCTATCAACGAAAAATCCGAGAGTCTATAGAAATCTATAAACAACCTAACAATCTTAACCGCGACTCAGGTCTTTACCTGTCACCAATATGGGAATCAGTCATTCGAGACGGTGTTTATGTCCCTCAATTAGCTCCGCCCCCTCAAACAATATATAAGCAGGTACAGAGTAAAATGCGAGCCAGTTTCAGTCAAGCTCTGAAAAAGCCGACAGGATTATTGGCGAAAAGTTAGCAACTCAGCAAAAACCGACGCAGCAGTTTTGTAAAAAGTTTTTAAGTAGCCTGTGGAAGTTGAAAAATTGAAAGCATCAATTTTACGCCATGTTGGTAATACAATATATCACTAATCTCCCTGAGCTTTTGACCTAACGTTTATGTAAGAAACTATCCTTTATTTTAAACAATTTTTGACATTTCTTTTGAACCACCCTACATATGCTTTTTTCTGGCAATGGACTGTTAGTAAAGCTTCAAATTCTCTATAACGGGCCAGATTTTCAGATTTTCTTTATAGTGTTACAAAAATTTGGTTTTATTTCTTTTAGAAAAATGTCCAGTAGTATTTCAATGTTTTTTTTATTACCCAAAATTGGTTCAAAGCGATTTACTTGATCCGTAGACAAAAGGAGGTACCACTACACATACAGCCAAAACCAGTTCATTACCAGGGAACCGAGAACGAAGCCGGAAAAGTGCGGAGTGTCTTTCAGCAAGCCGAGGATGCTGAAAATCATCGGCGGAACCGAAGCTCAGCGTTACAAGTGGCCGTGGCATGTGGCCATAGTCAATCAGTTTTTCGTAAGTAATAAAATTTTTATTTCGTATTGAACGCAAGAGAGATAATTTTTACGACGTCGACAAGGAAGTAGGTTACGGCCATCAAATCTCGTATTTCATACATACAGGGGTTCAAGCATAAAATTCTTTTAACATGCAACTTCGTACATGACTAGGTAGCTTTCACGAGATGGCATTAAGCACATTAAGAGTGGTGAATTAGGAAGAATAGCAATATGTCTAAATATTTTTAAAAATTATAATTATAATTATACAAATGTTATATAAAACTCGAATAGACTAACACGGCCTGTTCACGATTGACACGATGATTTTTGATAGGCTTTCTTGCAGATACATTCAACCAAAAAACATAAAAAATATTCTAACTAAACTAACACAGTTAACCGTTGCTGCAATCCCAAGATTTAAAAATATCATCAGTAATATTGAGAAGGGCTTCAATCGCTATTTCTTCTCGGCGATTATATCAAAATTGTTTAAGTAGCTAACCAGCTGTCTTTCAATTATTTTCTCAGATCCCTTTGAAAACGTTAGTATAATACTTAGTAATAGTCGAAAGTTCCCAAACTGTGGCAGGATTAGGGATCTTGGGTAGTGGCACGATTCGCACCCTCTTACATTCGCTGGGAAATTCCGATTTTTCTTGACACAAGTTTATGATATGAGTAAAGCATAATAGCAAAAATGGTAGAAGAAGCTTAATGGTTAAAATATTCAGGTAGTTTTAGTTTTAATATTATTAATAATTCAAGTTATAAGTATAATATCTGGTAATACAGTATTTTCATAGAACGTTTGAGTTTCTCGATCTGGTACGAACTTCGGAATAGAGTTAACAAAGTAATTAATTATATCTACATCACTGAGCTGAGATGGAATATGCTTGTCAGAAGTTAACGGATCCAAATCTCTTAGGGTACACCACATTTTATTTTATTGTAATTTTAATTTGTAGTGTGTTTTCATTTAAAGTTAACTGCAGCGGCAACCACATTTTTCAATGTAATTTTCAAAATCAGCTACAACGTTTATGTTTAATAAGGGGTTTATCCCTATTTTTCAACATAAGACACAAGTTAGTTACGTCACGAAATTGATCTTAGATCAGCATCAAACTGAACAAAATTCAAATTTTGGATGGTTCTTGGATCTTGCAGAGAAATCTTTTCGTAATACCGAGGGAGAACAGTAAACTAGAGCATGCTAGCTAATATTAGGTACATCAATTTTTCACGCCCCTAATATTTTTTCATTGTCCGCCACTAAGATAAGATGCAATAGAGTTGCTGAGAGTTTTGACATCGCAACCATGACGAACAAAAGAGTAGACATCAATTTTAAGAACATTATTTGAAATGTTGACATTTAACCACCAGGTCTCACTTAATCCGAAAATGTCAAAATGATAATTTAAAAGAATTTCCTTTCAATTTTTTAAATAACCTAATATTTAAGTGTACAATCTTCATCTTATACATCTAACTCGTTAGGTTTTATTGAAAATAGTTGAATTAATTATATACATAAAGACAGGCAACAACAGCTTCACACGTTTTAATTTTTTCAGTGAGCGAATATGTTACCTGACAAAAAGTAATAAATAAAAATATTAAAATATCGACATAGATAAACTATGGTTAAATAATAATAATAATAATAATGTCTTTATTTTCGAACATAAATTTTACAAATGAATAGCGAGAAGTAAGTAAACGAATGTTCAAAAAATGGCGAAGTTCAGATGCGAAATTCACAGGAGTATCTCCCTCAACTACTTAACCCAGTATGACATTAATTAATTTATAAACATAACCTAGGCCAAGAAGTGTACCTATAATATATAAAAAAAAAATTATAAAAACTTAAATAAATAAATAAATAAAAAGCTCTATATGTTGCAGAAAACAAACTAGAAACTATGCATGTATGCGTTGCTAAAAATAATTTTTATATTTTCGTTTAAAAAGTATAAAAACTAAGCTTAAACATTGCCGTCCTATGAAATGGTGGAGTGATCTTTCCCCTAAACCTGACATTTAAATTATGCAATTGTCTTCTGAATACAATGCGTCTGTATAAGTACCTAGGGCTTTTGAAGTTTATAATTTTATAAAAATAGTAAGCAGAATATAATTCTCTCCTCCTCTCCATGCTAAGCCACCCTGTTTCAAAGAGTTTGTGTGAAATTGGCCGATACTTCCTTATTCCATGAATAAGCCTAAAACATGAGTTTTGAATTAACAGTTTTTTTTTTAATCAGAACTGTTTAAACAATTTGTGTAAACAACATATAAAGTGACGATTACTATATATATGTTTTATTCTGACATAAGTTCTTCGACAACAACTATTTATATGAGCGGTAAATCTAAAAGAACCATCAAATACTAAGCCAAGATTACACACCAAAAAATTACCAAATTTGGTACTGCATATTTGATGTCCAAAAATAGTATATTATGCAACAAGTGCGGTAAACGGCATTTAACTCACGAGTTTATTTGATACGAGCGGAGCGCAGCGAAGCGAATGTTGAATAAACGAGTGACTTAAAGTTTACCGATCGTGTTGCATACTATACTTTTCCTACGACCGTTAGTGTTTGGGTACATTTTCGCAAAACAACGCGAATACATTCACTGACATGACCGTTAGAACTGACAACCTTCAAAATTCAAAGCCTGGGAAATATTTCCGAAAACATCCGATTGCTCCCAAACTCGTGCGGTAAAATTCCGGATATGTCCGAAATGACTCGGATCCGTGGGAAACGAAACTGACGTGGAAAAGTGTCGCTTCCGGCACGCTAGATCGGTGTGTCATTAGGTATTTTACAAACGGGAGTAGAAAAAAAATTAAATAGCTAGAAAATAATTAGAAAACCAACACAACAAATGCAATCTAATTAGTAACATATATTGTGTTAAAACCAAAAAAAAAGAGAAACCCTGTTACTCAAAAGCAACACACCCGAATAGTAATTTGAAAAAAAAACATAATCACGAAATTATTTTTAACTTTCGTTTTAATTGCAAATTCTGAATAACGGCATCATCATGAGTAATTTTTTTTTGGGCCATTTATTATGACAAAAATATTGTCACGATACGGTCAACATGATTTAGCATCTAGTATATTTTTACTTGTAAAAACTAATTAATCTTGAAAGACGTGTACGTGTACTATTCAAACTGCGCCATCTGTCGGATGGTCTCTGATTTCAGTAGAAGACATGTAGTATATTTGTCCGGAATCAGAAGGTAATTTTTTATAGCAATAGTTATTAAATTTTTCCAAATCTTAGTTTGTAGTTTTCTTTATTCTTATGTACATAAATTGATAGTTTAAGTAAATAAATACCTGTCAGAGTATTTTTTTTTAGTTAAGAACATCTTTGCTGGACTCTAGTGGTTTCAGGTTGTATATTAATCGAATTATTCTTTTTTGTTGGATTGAATTTAATTTAAGAGAAGAGTAGAACTTAAGAAATATTTTCATGGTAATATAGTAAAATTTGGACTATTAAATTTTGTTCAGAAACAGAATATTTAATTGACAATTAAGTTCTGCGGATATATCATCTTTGTTGGCCTCTAAAATCAACTAGTATAGTTTTCTTAGGATTTAGTATGAATATATAGTAGGTCTGAAATTTTTGTATAGCGATTTCAATTTCCATTCCATTTATTGCGTCACTAATATTTCCTGAGGGATTCCGAGCTCAGCACTGAATGGATCAGAATAAAAATCCTCAACCTTTATCGCGATCTTCCTTTCTGATATGTATGACTCTATACAGTGATCTATTGTTCCTGTAACAAAGCCTAACGAAATGTTGAGAAAGGTCAAGCAAAATTGCAACAACAGTTTTCTCATCAATTATGTCAAAAATATATTGCACGAGTTCTGTTGTTCCTGTTTCAGATGAAAAGTTTTTTTGATAACCAAGTGTTATTTTTTCAGAATCAAAAAATTTTGCAATCTAATGTGCAGTATTATTTTTTCAAAGAAACTTCCACTGGCTACCGTACTATGTTGAAGAATCGAAATTGCTGACGTTTCGCCAATCATCCTGTTTTCCATGCTTCCATTTTACTCTGTACCTGCTTATATATTGTTTGAGGGGGGCGGAGCTAAATGAGGGCCATAAACACCGTCTCGAATGACTGATTCCCATATTGGTGTGACAGGTAATGCTCTGAGTCGCAATTAAGATTGTCTGGTTGCTTATAGATTTCCATAGATTCTAGAATTTTTCATTGGTAGAAGAATTGATTACATGCAAGAATTTTAGTTTTATCGAATAAAATTTGATGTGCGGTTTCGTGGTTCTGTTCGGAAACTGCTGATGAGTTTATTTATTTTATTTTTATTTTTATTATTTCTTAAGGCTCTTTCATGTTCTTTGCGCCTACTTAATATTTTTCATCCATTGATGTTTTGAATTTGACAAGAAAAAGAAGTACTATTAGGGATTTTTTAAAGAAATTCTTATTCAGGAGTACTTATAACCCAACTATACCATTTTCTATTGTGTTTTAATACAGGAGGTTACAGGGTGTTTGAAATTTCTTTTGCGCCCCACTTAAAATCTGTGTTTGTAATTTGATTTGCGCGCTATATCTCAAAAACAAAGCTAGCTAATATTGTTCCAAAACGGCATCATTTGTTTCACGAAAATCGAGCACAAGACTGCGAAAACCAACTCTCTAACAGTAACTGAGATACGACAATAGCAACGAAAAATAAACACATTGTACCATTAGTAATTAAGTGTAGGAAATTTCTATACCTATATTTCCATGTTTCCTGTTTCATTGTGATCTACTTTTCTTTTCGATCTGCGTTTTTTCATTGGTAAAAGATATTATTTACTAGGAGGTGTTCTGCGGTGGTACCTTGATCGCACCCCGATGGGTGCTCACGGCAAGTCATTGCATTCGTCGATATCTTCGGGTTAAATTGAATGCTCATGATCTTCGCTCAGACGACGGCAGCGACGTAGAGATGATCGTGTCCAAAATGTTTCCACATCCCAGGTAAGAACTGTAGCGCACGCTTAGCAGAGCTAGCCCGAAGTCGCTTTTATTTTCAGGTTTGATTATAAAACCGTCGACAATGACATTGCCCTGCTTCTACTGCCCAGAAGCGTCAGGACGCCCATCGCCTGCCTTCCTAATCGGAGACCCAGAGCTGGTCAGCTGTGTTCGGTCATGGGGTGGGGGAAAATACGTACCAGCGATATGTACGGGGTCCCTGTGCTTCACGAGACCAAGGTGAGACAGAATTTGGAGGTGGTGATATTTGAATTCAATATGCTTTTCCATATAATCACCAGGCAAAAAAAAGACAACAGAAAGCAATGTGTAAACAAGGTTAAAAAAAATTTAGATTATACAGGAGAAAATTGTGAAATAATGAAATATTCTCTCTTTGCTCATTTCCTTAGTCATGATGATACTGACTTCTTTGGAATGCTTCAATTCCCCTTTCCATTGTTCTTCGTTCATCATGATGACATTCTTACTTAAACTTAACTTTTTCAGTATAGACTATTTAGTTATCGTCGCGGTTCAGGGATTTCTAAGCAATCTCCACATTGGAAAGACCAACGTTCGAACCAGATTCATTTTAGTGTTTTTGATTACATATGAGCTTTCCCATATACTGGTAAGTCGCATTATTAGTCACAGCTATTCTTCCTTTAACTTCCTCTAACCATGTTGCTTATTATTGACCCCAGATATGTAAAACTGAGTCCAGTTAACGACGTTAGGCTTATCCGCTATCATTAGTTTTGTCTTGTTTCTGTTTATTCTTAGACCAAACTTTCCACTCTTCTTCTATCCTGTTTAAGAGAAACGCCATTTCCTCATCCATTGTAGCAAATATGGTGGTGTTATCAGCATACGGCAAGATGCTTATTAGATATCTCCCAACGAGAATTACACTCTCCCAGTCATCTAGGGAGTTATAGCTTCGCGATGTGGTCTCACACGTCTTTGTGGATGGATTAAGTTGATTAAGTGACCTGGAACACCCATTTGATTGAATACTTTCTATAACCTACACCAGTTGACAAAGATGAAAGCCTAGTTGTAGTTTATAAAGCAAATTACCGTTTGTCTAACGTTAAGAATATGATTTTAGGTGCCTCTACCCTTCACAAAACCGGACTGTTCTCTTGCAATTTCGTTGTCCACGTAGGTCCTAAGTTGATTATATATAACAGTCTATTTATTATTTTTTAACGGCTTCTATCTCCGTGTTATTGGTTGTCAGTTGGCAACATGCTGTTTTTATCCTTAATAGCTGATGTCTTTAGCTTCAAATATCTGACTATTTCTTTTTTTAACAGATCTCTGGACAATAGGTGTTTTATCTTGTTGACTGTTCTTTGTAAAAGTCTACTGAGACGTTGATATTCTTGTCTCTGTTGTTATTCGATAAGTCCAGTTTTGCTTTTTTTTTTCAGACGAATATATCTCCATTTGTTTTGTCTTAGTCCTTTTCCTTTAGGAATTTAATTCAATGCGAAGAACTGTAACTAACAACTGATGGTCCCAGTTGCAGTCCGGACCAGGGTATGAGATTTCCATCTTTGATTGATCGTAATATAATCTATTTGGTTTCTGTATCCCAACGCCACCCCCTCCAAAACGGCCAATAACGTTTTTAGGTTGTCCATTGTCTTCGGAGTCCCGTCCTAGATTTTCTGATGGAGTGTTCTGCCTATTCTGACACTTTCAACAAGCTTAAGTGTAGGTTCTTTGGGTATTCCAGTCGCTTTATTAAGGTTCGAATGGAAAAAAATAATAAGGTGCTTTTCTATTGTCTTTCTTTGACTTTTGCCACTCGAAATATAAGGCTTCTGTGCTTTCTTCGTCGATGTGGACTCCACCCGTAATCCTAGGTAACGGTAAAACGTTACACCTGAGATATTATTTATACATAAAAAGAAGCATACCCACAGTATTAAAGTAATGTTACTCAGATTTTTTATGTCGGCAGACACTTTACGGTATTATCACTAAAAGACCTCTTATAAACAGAGCTGTGTGATGCCGGGGGATGCGGTACGGTAATTTGGAAGGAGCTTTATTTTACGATAAGATTTAAGTTAATAATATGATTTTTGCAATATTTTATCCACACGAGTATTAATTATTTCATGTTGGGCATGTAAGTTCTCTGATGACATGGCAATGCTGAAACTATTTCATAAGTACGCATCGTTTTTGTAAAAACAAATGCCTCATGTGTTGGTTTAACGGGCGTTGGAAAGGATTACTGATTATTTAGACAACGGTTAAAAAGTTACATTGAATTTTTAGGTACGTTTTATTGCTATCCGTCTTCAGCAAAGTAAACATCTGAATAATATTAATAAATTTGTTATTGATTCAAATATGTTTGAGTTTGAGCATTTCTACTTAGTAAAACGGTTACTCATTCATGTCGTCCTAACCATTAAGATTACTAAGTATTTACTCACAGCTAGAGTTTCAAAATTATAAATCCCAAAGGAATATCGAGTAAGCGTTAGGAATAATTTAGACAATCAGGATTGTTTTCGTTTAGCAGACAGAAACTAACCAATAGGCACCTAAAAGAGTATCAACCAAAATTAATTGTTTACCTGGCTTAAACTTAACCTCAATATGAAATTTTTGTAAATGCAACATCATACGCTGAAGTTTCTTAAAAACTTATATTACTGCCTGATGGTAATTAACCAAAACTAACCAAAGCAAATTGAATTAAATTCCTTTTTTACTGGTGCTTATCTCGTTTGTGTTTCGGTTAATGTTTTGCAAAATTTTTTAGGTATTTTCTATCCTTTTTAAGTAAACAACATTTTAATGATATTTATATTATTTTTTTATAATATATATCTATTTGAATTGTTATTCTACTCATTGAAACGGTTTCTCATTAATGTCGTCCTTACCGTTTATGTTTTTTAAAACTACTAACGATTTTATCCCATTTGGATGCTTTTAAAATCGCAAATTCAAAATGAACATCGGGTAAATGTTAGGAATGAGACTTGCTGGCATGTGACGTGTTATCTTCAATTTAGACAATTCGGATTGTTTTCGTTTCGCTGACTGAACTTGCTAATCATAGGTTATATTCTAACAGCGTTCTTGTATAAAGGTTTCTTAAAAATTGATATAGTGGTTAATTGTCAGTTTCCACGGAAATTTGTTAACTATAAACACATCTTAACATCAAAACAAATTGCATAAAGTTCATTTTCTGATTGTGCACATCTCTTTTGTGTTTCAGTTAGGCATTTTTGTTGTTTTCGTTATTGTTTAAAATATCTATGTCTTGCTAACCGTTTGTTTTATTTATTATTAATTAATTTATCATAGTTCGATAAGTTTAAAATCGCAAATCCCAAAAGAACATCAAGTAGACATCAGGAATGAGACTTACTGGCATGTGAGTTCAGTCTAAATTTAAACCATCAGGATTGTTTTCGATTGTTTGTGGCGAAGCTAATTTTTTTTTTTGTCGATAAATTAAGCTGTTACCAGCTGTCCATGTTAACATCACTATTTTTTCTGGACGCGTTGATGTCATTTACACCTACGATGTCGTATTGGAGGCTTTTTTATACTAAAAGAGAACTTCACTACAAAACCTTTTTTTAAAACAGCGTTATGAAGTTCAAATATAAACGCGCGAGATACCTGTCTAAGAGTACGACATTCTAACCTCTCAAGACCGTAGAATAGGAACACCATAGACCACCGAACAAAACCCTGATGCAACAGATGTGCCCCAAATTTTTTTTTCGAGAAAACCATTCATCGGCATCGAGCTACAGGGTGCGCGAAATATTTGAAAAAGTATAACTGGGAATCACAATTACTGGTACAAATGTTTATATTTACCAAAGTTTTACCGCGTAAGGGCTTTGCATACTGAGTAGCGCGCAGCGAGATTGCACATAATTAAAATATAAACTAAGCAACATTGCAACATGGGACACCAGTCAAACAATTACCGCCTTTTCATTTTTCTCCCGTGATACTAAGACGATTACCATATATATAATTAAAGCCTAGACCACCCTTAGTATTGATCTTTTTGCTAGTTACCGCTGGTGAGACATAAGACTTGCAAGAAGTCCTACAAGGAGTTCCTGATCAGCCCCAACATGCTATGCGCGGGATGGAGATCAGGAAAGTCAGACACGTGTGCGGGTGATAGCGGCGGTGGCCTGATGTGTTCCAATTTGAAGCCCAGGAGGCAAAAGTACAGCGTCCAGGGAATCACGAGCTTCGGGGACGGTTGCGGCGAAAAAAACAAATATGGGATTTACACAGCCGTATTTAATTACATCGAATGGATTCACTACGTAATCGACCATTACTCGTGACGCAGTGATTCTACAAATGGCGAAAATGCTTTCCGAAAAATGCCTCGTGTTGTATCGATTTAAAAAAATATATAAATGATCGTAACCGCTGTGAACTAAAATTATTTTATTTATTCCTTGTTTCAATGTAATTAGGCAACGCAAGTTTGCGTAAATATTTTCACCCTATTTTGTCAGTCAGTCGTAGAACCAGTGGCGGAGTAGAACGCAGTCGAAGGTAGAAACATTTTGGAAAGAGGGCGTTAAATGTTTAACCGAAATCCAAAGTTGGCAGCTCTATTTGATCTATTTCCTGGCGTAATACGACTTGCCCTGTTTAAATATTTTTAACTGTAATATTTCGCTATAAATTCTAGTTTTTCACTTTACTCATAGCGACAAATTTCACTAAAAAATCATTAATTAAGAGACGTATTCTGTAGTTGATAATCCTGCAATTTAGCTATTCATATATGAAAGTAGCACGGGAAATTTTAACAGCGTTGCCAAATTTGTTCGATTTACACAGGAAAATTATGTAAAACTGTGGTTACTTAATACTACTTGTTTCCATAATGCGACTTAAAATCGACTAAGTAGAGTTAGATCAAACTGAGTTTATTCAAAAAGTTTCGCAAAAACACAATACAATAGCCGATGGTGAGTAGAACTGTTCTTTAAGATATATTTGAAAACTTCTTTAAACTACACAAAATGAAATTAAAATTCAAGCTATTGAGCACTAGTTTGGAGGATCCTATAAAGAAATTAAGAAAAATGTCGTCATAAATTCATGAAGATAAAACAAAAAGCGGTTTAGAGGCAGCAAATTTACTCCGACGCCCTGTTTGCACTTTCTTTAACCATCAAGTGTCAACTTTCTGCGTTATTGCTGCTGTTTATCGTCCATATACACAATATAATAATCACCACTGTTAACTATTCCCCATGTTCACATATTCTGCTTTGTTCAGTATTAACCTCACAAATAATAGTGGCAAAAAGTTCACCCTTACCACCATCTGAAAGAACATCATGATACACCCCTACAGGAGCTCATTATGATAAAGCTAGTAATCAAAAGCCAGCTGGTGAAGATTTGAAGTGGTACCATCGACCTTTTTGGACCTTTGCTAACCAACGAAAATTGACAACAGTGGATATTCTGTTTCGATTAGTCAACGCTACTTCTGAAGGATATTCCAAAATATTGATAGATAAAATCTTTCTGAGGTACAGTTTTCTAGACAAGTATGCTACTAAACAAAATTTGAGGCCAGTGTTCCATCCACAAGCGAACATGGTAGAAAGTAGAAAATCATGATTTAAAATCACTCTTAGCAACTTTAGTAAGAGATTTAGAAAGATCATCAAGAAGAAGACAACGCCTAAATTCGATCGAAAATGGGATGGGATTTTTATTATCAACAAGGAAATCTCTCCAACTTCATTCCAGGTCGCTCGTCTCAATTCACAAAATGTCCCATTAAGAGTGTATCATTGTTCCCCTTAAGAGGACATACAACCAACAGTACCATTACGAAAACGCGCACGACCCAAGAAACCCACACATCCATCCTGGTTCCTCTTCCGTGCCTGCCTTAAAACCAGAGAGGAGGTTGTAACAAATGAACACCCTCACCACCATCTATCCGCCCACAGAGGAATTAGCCGTCGACCAGAACGCATCATTGAAGTAGATACGTACGGTCCTGCTAGAGTGAGCCACAGCGTACCAGATTTAAGTGAGGGAGCTGTTCAAAGACGAGGAGATGGCCGTTGACGAGTATTATTTATAGGCGTGAAAATTAATTTTGCGTTACGCTCTCCAGGATTTAACAGTTGCTACAACAAACAATTATGACAGAAACGAAAATTGAATATTTCCTAACAGATGCGCAAACCGACAATTCTGTTATCTATCACCCCATCTACTATATACGTAAACTGTAGGATTACGCCTTTAATTTTTACCTCTAGTCAATAAAAAAAGCACACACCACCCCACTTTCCTTGCATAGATAGAGCCACCAGCATCATTAAACAAAAGTGGATTGAATTTCTCTCATCTTTAAAACAGTTAGTCACTACTATGGTTAATTGTAAATTTTAGTAGAAACTGCGGTTTAAAATTAAAGATAACAATTACGTGTCCTGAGCACCATTCCCGCATTTATGGAACACCTTATTTCGTTGCCATTATTAGGACACACGGTATATAGCAATATAGCTCTCTAAAGTCTGAAATAACCATGATGCTTAGAAGAAAACAAAGCCTATTAATGCGATTTGGTTTTTGTAATTATTTCGACCTCCAAATAAACATTCTATGTTGAAATGTTAAATACTTGTAAAAAAGGATGACTTGGTATCAAATAAAATAACCGGAGTGTATTTACAATCTTTTATTCGCTCGTTGAAATCACATGGAATATGTATGTACATACTTATAGTTCGTGCATTTAACCATCTATAGACATACAGATTACAGGATGCCCACACAAACCAATATTATCTCTCGTTACGTAATCTCCACTACAATAAAAACTCTGCCCATAAAAAAAAAACAGTAATCACTCATTGAAAATTTTATCGTCATATGATGACTGATCCACCGCGCACTACACTTTCGTTCGCCCATAAACTCGCGTTTGTGTATGTGTGGGCTGAGGGAAGTACCGAATATAAAATTTCCCGATAAAAATTGATTTAATAAGAAAAATGGCTCGCCGCGGTTTAAATCTAAAGCTAAAAAAACATTATGTCTCCCATAACGGAATCCGACGAATCGGACTCGCTCGACAACGTCGTCCAGGTCTCGTCGCTGTCGCTTCCATTGTCGTCGTCTTCGTTGTTATCGTTGTTGGCCCCGTTGTCGTTGTCCGCCCCTAAATCGATTACTACGTGATCTAGAATTATTCATAAAGTATAAGTACATTATAAATGTCCAGACATTTTTTCTTTGGGATTTTAGAAAAAAAAGTTAAATGTAAAAGTTGTAGGTACAACTGAAAGTTTTCTTAGGTGTTAAGAGTTAGAGATAAAGAGAGAGAGAGAGAGAGAGAGATAAAAAAAGAGTGGCAGATAAAAACATATTTAGAAACGTCTTTCAATATTTGGGGTTAAGGTAAGTGTCAAGTAAGTACCTCTTACTCTCAACTTGCTTATTTCAAATTAAACACCGTATATTTTGAGATTCGGTGCGAAACGATGAACGTATCTGAAATATGTATAATAGAAATCTGGAGCAGGCATCGTTTAATTCAATTATATCTATCTCTAGCAGGTTGGCAACATTCTATATACTATACACGTTGATCTAAATTAAGTGTTCATCATTGGTACCTTTGTTATGAGTAGAGATACAAAGTCGTTTGAATTAGCAAACGAAGCAACATTTTTTCCACTGATTACCTTGGTGAAAACAGAAAAACCATTAAATGTAGGGTTTACGAAAAAATTAGGAAAATGTACTCTTGTTAAATGGAACACCCTCTATATTTTTGACTCTAACGTTCCGAACCGAACCATATTTGAAATAAACAGGTTTTTTGATTGTATCGTATTTGTTCGGCTGACCATTTTTTCCCTTCACGTTCTATGCACTACATTGTAAGTAGACTACAAAGTAAAAGTTTAAATTTAATAAGAAAGGATACTCAAATTCTCATATTGTCAATTTGTTTTATATTCATGGCTAATGTTACAAAGTACTAAAACTGTGCTACTAAGATGCTCTGAACAAGCCAACAGGATGATTGGCGAAACGTCAGCAAGTTCGACTCAACAGCAACCAACGCAGGAGGAATCCAGAAGTATTGTAAATAGTGTCCTAGATTCTTGACACGTGGCACTTACTCTAGCCCCAAAAATTGAAAGGCATTTCTAAATTTCCTATACCATCTAGAAAAATATTTATTAATCACTTCTAAGAAACAAATATTTAAAAAGGAGAAAAATGCAAATAATTTATATTATATTGGCAAAATATATTTTGAATTTTTTAATTTTGCCACTAAAATCGCTGCTTGTTGAGACGACCACGAGTTGTTGTTTTCTGATACTGGCAACTTTAGGGTGTCTCCAAATAAGTTTATCTTATCTTTATATTTCCCAGGTTTTTGCTGGATCTTTTCTAGTAATAATAATAATATGTTTTTTTAAAGAATCATTAAAATTCTATACGTGATGGACTTCGCAATTTGCATAAAGTTTGGTGATTGGAAGACACGGAACAACGATATGGCCAGCTAACAGACCTTAGAATTCCATAAATTTCTTTAGGAGCATTTAAAAAATTAAATTTTATTTACTAGGCAGCAAAATAAGAAAACAGGGACTGAAATAAATCATATACGTACCAATCATTCTAATTATGCTATAGAAAAACTAAAAGAGCTATCGATTATGTCTAGAAATGAATGGTGGTCCCTTTCTACATTTTGCAGAATAATTAAATAAATAAATAAATAATGTAGTTAACCACGGCAAAGTTTGATTTATAATCATATTAATTATTGTTATTGTTTACATAATAAAAAATATTAAACAGTTTGAGAAATGTGTTTCTGGCCTAATGAAGACCTCAAAACAAGTTATGAAACGGAGAATGGAAATAATGTGAAAACTTACTTTTGGCATTTTCTGCCTTAGAAATTTAAAATAACCATAATGTGTTATATAATATATACAGAGCATCCCATAAGAAGAAAAAATATGTTTATCTTTATCCGTAAAATAATTTTTACGGATCCCCTGTATGGGATTTCATAAGATTTAAAAGAACGTTCAATTGTACCATAAAACTTTTGTATTAACATTTTTTCTGAGAAAAAAAGTAGGGCGGGTGTGGACATTTATAATGGATCGCGGGGTACAGTGTGTCCCATCTTTGATGATTTTACGGTGCATCTTTCTTATTAATAGAGCTGCTTTCGTGAGCCAAGGCTACATGCCATAGTTATTTTGGATTTTTAGATATACAGTGTTTTTTTTTTTAATTTTGCCATTTTAGACACCCCTTGTAGTTCTTTGTTATGCACAAACTTATCAAAAACTGGTCTAGATGGAGTATCCTCAGTAGAATCCAGGGCGCAGTCACTTTA